CCTCCTCCTCCTCCTTTTTTTTTTTTGTGGAACCAGAATTTAGGCCCTTGCGCTTGCCAGGGAAGCGCATATTCCCCCGGGCCAGCTCCCAGCCCCATCTCTTCAACTTCTGTCGCTGGGTGCAGCCTCTGGGAGCCCAACTGTGACGGGCTGAGCTTTTCTCTTTGTGGACGTCAGCATTCCCCAAGCCACGCCTGGCTGTCTGTCCGTGATTCTGTTTTCTGCACACAGATTGTCGTAAGCTCCATGTGTGTGTTCTGTAGATCTAGCTCAAATTAGCTCCCGCCAGTCCCTGGGCCATCGCATAGCTATTGGGGGATTTCTCTGTCTCCTCTCATTTCAGGCTTCTTCATGTAAAGTATAATGTGTTACCTTTTTGTCCTCAAAATTCTACCTTCAAGTTGGTCATTTCTGCTGCTCATGGATTCAACAGACTTCTTAAAATCTCTGGCTTTTCTGTTTTGTGTGCTGTTTCTTTGGTGAATGTGTCACTCCTGTTTTGAGGTATTTTGGTCAGCTCTTCCAAGCGCACGGCCTTCTCCCGTGTAACACTTCCTCTGTCCTTTGGGCTTTGCCCACGCTGACGTCGCCGTTTCCTTCTCTACCCACTGTGTGCAGTGCGGCTGCCCAGCGCTGCTCTGCTCTTCCGAGTGCTCCTTGGGGCTGTTTGGAAAACTCTGGAGGGGTTTTGTTTGCCGCAATTTTTTTGTTCCCTTTTGTGCTGAAGGTTGAGGTCAAATAGAGTGACAAGAGTTTAAGAGTCTCTTCAGTTCGGTTCTGGCTTTGTCGAGAGACCTTGTCTTCTGCTTCAACCTGCTTGTGTACCTGGGCCGCACCAGTCATTCGGCTGGCCGGTCCTCGTGCAGCTGGGCTCTCTGTGGGGCTCGGGACGCGGACATCCGAGCCTGAGGCTCCTCACCCTGGAGCTCACAGCGAGCTCATTTCCGTTAGGACACTGATGGGAGATGGAGAAGCCCTGCTCCTGCTCGTCCTGCCTGGACCCGGCAGCCCGCCTGCTCTTGCTCCTGTAGCCCCGTGAGCGGATGAGCGCTCAGCCTGGTGTCTCCAGGGAAGGTCGCCAGAGGACCTTGCCCAGGCCCCCTGCTCCAGCCCTCAGAGCTTTTGAAAAACTGGGGTCGCCATCGAACGCCACGGCGCCGCTGCGGCTCTGACACCGTTTACGCTCAGCTCCCTCCTGTTCGTTTGTCTTTTACAGCAACCTTTGCAGTTTGCTTTCCGGTTCAGATCATGAATTGCGTCCACTGTCCCCAGCTCCCCCTTTCATTGGGAGCAGTACCCCAAGCGTTCTTTCATGACACTGACATTTTCCACGGTGATAGGTACAGTGTTTTCTAGTGTCTCCCTTTGTGCATGACTCCTGTGGTTCACGTTTTGCATTCATGGCAGGAATAATACTAAAAGGACATGTGCACCTCCCGGTCTGGCACGCACCAGGAGGGACAGTATCGGCGTGTCCCACCGGGGGACGGTGTGTGTCATGATGTTCAGCGCGTGCACCTTGTCTGTCTGGCACAAGTGCCTCCACTCTTCTGAACTAGCGAGTGTCCTGCTACCTAGCAGGCTCTCACCTACAGCTTTGCACCCACTGTTGGCTGAGCTAGGGAGGCATTGCCCTACTCGCCCGTAGGAAGGCCGGGCAAGCCCTCAGAGAGCTCCTCCAACCTCCTCACGTTGCCCTCTGCGTGGAACGCCCTTCGCTCTTAGCAAATCCTGCCCACCCCGAGCCCAGCCTGGGCAACAGGCCCCAAAGCCTCCCCTTCCCTAGTGGGCAAGGCACTTCCCTTTCCCATCTTTCTTTCCAGCGAGGTGGGCGGCACCGTCTGGCCTCCTGGAGGGACAGAGGCACGCCGGGCCGCGCAGGGCTGGGCCAGACGCTCCTGCTGCAGCTGTGCTTCTCAGCGCTCACCGTGCAGAGAACCATGTGGAGGCTGCCTGTGCAGGCCACCTCCAGGAGGCAGGAGGTGTGGCAGGGCGGCCAGCAGGGCAGTGTGCCCGTGGCCCGGAGCCCCAGCCATGGGGTGCCCACTTCCTTGTGTAGTTTCGGGGTGTAACCCAGGGGGAGCGTGGAGGACCTGGTCTGCCTTGCAGAGTCAGAGGGACCCTGCCTGGGTGTGCACCTGTTTCCCTGCCCTCCCCCTTGCCACCGTGGCTGCCCCTGTGCTTGCCCCAGGCCTGTGCCTCACAACACCCGTCCCCTCATGAGCGCAGGACACGGCCCTCGCACATCAGTGTCCCAGGGGGTGCTGGCACACAGAGGACGCACAGAATGTGTCCCGTGCCAGCGCATGCATCACCCTCACTCGCAGAGTTAGAAACAGAAACGTGGGCCAGCCAGATAGCTCAGCGGACTAGAGCACCTGCTCAGGCAGAACGCAGCGGCCGAGGTTCCACCCCAGCCTGCTGTGCCAGCCCTGACCGGGAGCACGCTGAGACAGTGACTGAGACTGGGTGTGGTGGTGCACGCCTGCAATGCCAGCACTGGGAGGCCGAAAATGGGAGAATCACTAGGAGTCTGATCTACGAAGTGAGATCCTGCAGACGCGGTGCTAAAAAAAAAAAAAAAAAAAAAAGCCAGAAACATACCCAGGGTGGTGGCTCACCTGGTCACAGCCCTGCAGGTGCCAGCTCCTGCTGCAGCGCTGGCCACACTACTGTCACCACGAGGTCCTCTTAAGCAAACCATTTCCTGTTGGCGGCTCAGCTGCTCTCGGTTCTTCGGCTCCACAGAAGACAACATGAAGTATCTCCCGGGACTGTGTTACAGATGCCCGAGGTGTCCTCACTCAGCGCTGGGACCACACAGAGGATGAACTCTGACTGTGGGAAAGCAGTGGTGGTGGGGGCGCGGGGCGAGGTAAGTATTCACAGGACGTACCGTGGAACAGTACACAGCCCTGAACAGTGTCAGGCTCTGGTTGAAAAGCTGTCTGAAGGATGGACTGTGCTGGGAGGAGGGAGACAACAGCAGTGCCGCAGCAAGTGCCTTGTGCGTACCTTCCCCAAAGAGTCAAACGCCTTCAAGTTTTACATAAGACCCATCTTTGTGATGAAAAGATAAAAAGACACAAACCAGAATACCAGTGTGGTCTCCATCATTTGCACTTACTTTATTGATAATCATTAGCGAATAAAATTTTCTTGTTGCTTTTGGATGCATTTCAACACACTTTCTGCAGTGGTTGCATGATGTTGATCGTTGATTTGCTATACTAACTACTGCAACCTCTGAATTGCCATTTTTACAGTGGAGTTTCTGGCGACGACGGGCGCCTCCTCTGTGTGGAAAGTGGTCCGCTCAGGTTGTGGTCTCCACGCTCCTGTTACTCTGCCTGCTGCTTTAAGATACATTCAGAGCCGAAGAAATGGGCCGCTCATGGCAGAGTGCACCACCGCCGGCCACGTGCGGACAGGGAAGGAATAGTCTGAAATCAGGGCTAGAGCCAGCCCCGGGGGACCTCCCACAGGCCCCTTTGTGGACGGTGACCCTCATGCAGCTGAAGGACACACCTTTGCTGGAGGGGCCCAAGATGACATTTTATGGGCCTACGACTTGCCCTCCCCAAGCCAGCTGAAGCAGGTGGCCTGAGGCGCAGCAGAGGGCAGAAATAAATAACCGGCAGGCCGGACCGCAGACCCTCACGGGGCTGCTTGGGACACAATAAATAAAGGCGACAGCCAGAGGCCTGGCTCCTTGCTGGTGCAGTTCTTTCCGCAGCATCTCTCACTCTCCCCAAGGGCAGGAAGTGGCGGGCACGGGGAAGGGGAAGACAGCCTCACCTAGAAACAGGCCGGCAGAACACGAAGGGCCCTGCAGGACCGCAGGCACCCAGGCAGCACTTCCGAGCAGGATGGGTGCTGCTGGCCGGGAGGCCCTGGCCTGGCACACCGCTGTGGTTCTTGCCTTTTGCTGCCTGGCGGACGCAGCTTCCTGCCACCCACTGCCAACACCACCCAGGACTGGCCTCAACCATCCTGCTGCCACACAGGCCCCAAGAAAAAGCCTGTCTCCCTGGTGACACGTGGGCTGGATGTCCCAGAGCCACAGACAGAGCTGCTAGTTCTGTGACTTCCTTACACGTAGGAACGGAAAAGGAAATGTCATGTGGAACAGAGGGCTGTGGGATGGGCGGAGGGGACACACATTCCATCTGGGGCTGGACCTCGGCTGAGGACCATGTGACACAGGCAGACTTCAAGTTCGAGGCGTGGACAGCAAAAGCCCCAGCATGGGAGGAAGGGGCCGTCAGGGCAGAGGAGGGCCTGTGCCGAAGACAACAGCTCTCATTCATCCGGAAAGTTGTATCCGTGGTCACAACGGAGGCCAGAGCTCCTCCTACCATTGTGAGTGGACCGGGTGTCCGGGAGACCTGCCCTGTGACAGCTCGTGGAGCAACAGGAGCGAGAACACACCGTCCCCTGGCGCCTGTCCGTAGGAGAAGAGCACTGGGAGCCTCAGTGCTTCTGGAAATGAAAGAGGGAGGGTCCCCTGGCGCCCGGGGAGCACCGGCGACATCCCTGGAAGGGACAGTGCTACTTCCCGGGGGTTGCAGGACGGGCAGGGTGCACCCTGGTCTCCGTGTGCTGCACGCTGTCCCCAGGGCGGGCAGTGCCTGGCGGGGCCCACCACGACTCCCTCACCGCAAGCCGGTCTGCGCAGGGAGCTTCGCACCCATCAGCACGGCTGGGGTGAGCGTGGCCGGCGCCTTCATCTGCATGCTGGAGCCCACCATGGCGGGCAAGCTGCGGTTCCTGCGGATGCCCACGGCGCCGGCGCCGGGCGGGGCTGGGCAGCCCAGTGGCAGGCCCTCGGGGACCCCGGGTGGCACGCAGAGCAGCGGGCCTTGGTCCTCAGCCAAGGCAGGGCCGTGGGCCCGCCCTGAGCTCAGTGGCCTGGCCACACCGAAGCGCCGGACCTTGTCCACGAGGTTGAGGTTGCCCACAGACACATCAGTCTGGCTCCCACTGCTGCGCACGCCCTTCTTCTCCCGTACCTCCCGCAGGATGGAGCTGGCCGGCTTGGACGCCAGGAAGGTGTCGTACGGTGGGCTGGTGCACTTGAACTCGAAGGTGGGCGGGGAGCCAGCCGGCGTCTGCAGGGGCGAGTTGGGCGGCGTGGAGGGGATCACGGCCATCCGGGGCGCGTAGTGCAGGAGGGAGCCCCGAGCCGCGCGGTCCCAGCTCTGGGGGTCGTACACGGCGGCCGAGATGCCCCGCTCCTTCAGCAGCCACACCAGCCCCCGCGACGTGCTCATGGTGGTGGTGGAGTCACGGGCGTTGGTGAAGGACTCGGCCAGACTCAGCCTTCGCGGAGTGCACGGTGTGGCCACTGGCAAGGTCTTTAGGTGGCCAGCGCTGCCGCAGGCCGGAGTCGGGGCGGAGTTAAGGCTGGAAGGCAAAGTAGCAGCTTACTCTTCAGGGACCGCCCAGTGCCATGGCAGAGCCAGTAGCCATGTCCTGAGGGGTGTCGGGAGAGCCAGGGACGCGCAAAGGGACATTCAAGACCTCTGTCCACGTAGCCCCTCACACGGGCCACAGCCTGCACTGGCGGAAGCTGCGCGCGATTCCTGGCCCGCCTTGGGGCGAGGGGCGTGGCTCGCCCTGCAGGCCTAAGCCCAAGGGCGCGGCTGGGGAGGGGCCGCTCGGGCCCAACCAGGAAGAGGCTCCGCCCACTCCGCTCTGGGCCCGGTTGTTTCCTTGGACGCTGCAGGACTGCCCCTGCCTGCCTGCTGCCTGCTGTGCCTGGGCCCCTTCACCCAAACTCATCGGGGGCACGCAGCCCAAAGTGGAGGAGGACACCACAGTATGGGCTCCACTATGGAGCAGCCCAGGCCAAGGCCCACAGGGGCCTCACCGCGTGCCTGCCCCACCCCTGTCCTGCTCCTGAAGCCCCACAAGGCTGGGCAGCTGGGTCCAGCTGGGAGGCCACAGGATGTAGGAGAAGCCCAGCCTAGCTGCAGAACCGGGAGGCTGACTTCAGGCAGTTGCTGCTGGGCAGCTCAACCTGGCTCCCAGGCCAACTGACTAGCTGCCTGGTCCTAGGAACATGCCTGCCATGTGACCCAGGGGCTGTGGGACCCGTGTGAGAAGGACGAGGAGGACCCACCTGGGCCAGGTCCTTGGGGTGACCAGAGGGCCCTTGTAGATAGAAACCGCTAACAGCAAGAGCAGGCTGCAGGCCTGGGGGCCTCAGGGACCTCCCCATGACACAGGCCCAGCTCACACAAGTGCAGGGAGGGACACTCGGGAGACACAGGGTTAGACACCACGGCAGAATCCAAGATGGAGACAGACTTTGCAAAGAGCACAGGTGAAGTCTGCAGGTGTTGTGTGGTCCATGGAAGGCCCCAACTTCTGTCCTCCAGTCCGCCTGGTGGCCGCCCCTAAGCATAACCCGTTTTGCCCCGCTGCCTTTCCCTCCTTGTAACATAGGCCAGCAAGCTCCTCTACCTCACGATCGGGGTAGAGCCTCCCTGAGTGTGGCCTCAGCCCTGCGTCTGCCTAACACAAGCTGCCCATGGTGGGCTGGGGCAGTGGCTTTAAACGCTACTTCCACGCACTGGATGGGAAGCCAGTTCCCGGGGCAGAAGGACCACTAAAAACAGTGACCTCGGTTAGGCCATGGTTAGTGCTGGCGCCTGGCTGGCCACGGTTTTAGACAGGTTAGGGTGGCGGCGGCCAGGTCAAATCAGCCAGCGCCACACAGAGACACGCTGAAGCCAGGCCCGTTAGTGGCGGCCACACGTGCACACAGATCCTCGCAGGGGCCGGGTAGGCGGTCCTGCACGCTCACCCCCTGCCCTGCCCACGGGCTCGGCTCTGCCCTACACCGCCTCTCGCCCACGCGGGCACAGGACGGCGCCGTTGTCCTCCTCCCACGACCTGTGGAGAAGTGTTCACAGTGAGGCGCCCAGGTACTAGCCTCCAATCCCCTCACACATCTCCCTCCAGGACCCGGGAGGAGGCTCGACTGCACCACAGGAGAAATGGCCATGGTAGGGGCATAGGATCCCCTTTACTGGAAGGGCAGGAAGGGGCCAAGGTTGTGGGTGCTACCCAGCCTCTGGGCACAGGGCTGTGCCTGAGATCCTCATGCCTGGGGCTGCTCCCTGGGCTGCACACAACGGCTGGACTGCAGTGGACTGCAGTGGCCCAGGACAGTGGCTGCAGGCACAAGAACTTCCTGGAGCCCAGCCTCTCCTGGCAGGGAATACAGCTAGCTCTGGAGTGCCCAGGGGCCTCTGGAGGGCGGCCTCCACTCCAGCCCCTAGCCAGGCCAAGGAGGAAGGCTGGCACTCTGTTGGAGCAGGGGTTGTATCAACATGGTCCCAGCTCCGAAGAGGGTGCTGGATAGGGACGACACACTTATGCTGCTCCTTCTTAAGCGGGTCAAAGCTGGCTTCTGTTCATTTGTTACTGTGACTGAATCTAATTTTGAAGCTCAGGCTGGCCTTGATCTTATGTTGCCCAGGCTGGCCTGGACCTCGTAGCCATCCTCCTGCCTCAGCTTCCCAAGTGCTGGGATCACAGGCACGCACCACCATGCTTGGCTCTGGAGCTGGCTTCACAGGAGCCTCTTGTGTGGTTATCCTCAACGTGGGGCCTGGCAGGAGAGGGGTGTACCATCCTCACCCATAGCTGTCCACTGGAGGCCAAGTCCCTTACCTTGGTGTGACCCGAGTGAGCTCGTCGGAGGGGTGCAGGATGCGGCAGGTGGTGAAGGTGAAGGTGGAGTTGGTCTGGGACATGCACTTCCCGGGGTGGTTCGCTGCATTGGGGAATAAAACACAGTCCTTGCACCTGGGTATGCATGGTGTACGTGGAACCAGGGGCCCAGAGCAGATGCAAGGTGCGGGGTGGCCCGTGGGCTGGGGCTGGAGGACCGGCACGCAGGCATGTGGCACGAGGCCCCCGCCTGCAGGACGGTGTGCCCAGCCTCCACCCACCCACACAGGATCCCTTGCCAGGCCCGGGGCCAGCAGTGGATGTAGTTCCAGATAGATGCCCCTGGGGATGAATCTGATTTTCATCCTCCAAGCTGTGTCTTTTCATAGGCAAACAGGTGCCAACTTGTCTGGGACAGACAGAGCTGCCTGGGGCCTGGCAGCAGGTGGGTTCTCGGAGCGGGCTCCACTGCTGTCCCACGACTGCCTGCCAGGTGGGATGCAGCAACCTCGGCTGCTCAGCAACAGCAGAGCAAGGGCTCCAGAGGCCAGCGGCCCGGGGCCAGGCCCAGCACAGACCCTCCCAAGCCCCGCCCTCCCACCCGGTGCTGTCTCCAGGAAGCCTGGCCTCTGTGGAGCTGTGGCTCGGGTGGCTGAGGGCTCTGAGGCAAAGGGAAGGAGGGTGTGCACACTGCTGGAGAGAAGGCAGGTGGGAGCAGCTCTACATCTATAGGAGACATCATGATTGCTGGGGTCACCATTGTTCATAACCAAGCGTCAGGAAAAAGAAAAGGGGAAAAATGAAAAGACACTGCACCAAGAGCATGCGGCGAGGTGCAAGCACCCCCCAGCCACCCGCCACTCAGCCCCCAGAGACCTCCAGGGAACAGACTGGGAATCAGAGCCCAGGCACCTCCATGAAGCTGTGCACTGGAACCTTCCAGCTACTATGGGTCATTTTCTCTTGGATTGGGACAAAAACAAAAAAGGCAAACAAAATGGAACAGATGGGTGCTGCAGAACCACAGATCCACGCAGATGATTTTAAAAAACCAAAACAAAACACCAAAACCAAAAAGCTGGAGACACACAACTAGAAGGTAGGAAGGACAATGCCGGGCACAGGATGGTCAGGTGACTGGGCAAAGCGAAGCATTGACACCGCAGTAGGTGAAACTCCCCGTGTGCCACCGGCTCCCTGGCTGGCAGCCGGCACTATGACCCCAGAGCCAACGCTCAGCCACAGGGAGCTCCAGGCAAGGCAGGAGGGGGAGAAAAAAAAAAGAATCAGCCTTTTCAGTCTGTTTCTGCAGCAGTAAATGTGACTGAGGAACTCAGGGAATGAGAGATGCTCAAGGGGAACACAACTGGAAGAGGCGACAACCAAACAATCACGATTCTCTGCAACCAAGAAAGCCCAGGGCCAAAGCCACCAAAGACCCGCACGAAGTGGCCCAAGGACAGGGCACGGAAGGAGGGCTATTTGGGAGGAACAGAGAAGGCAGGAGACAAATAATCAAGACAAAACAGTTGAAAGGGGGAGAACATTAAAAAATCAAAGAAGGCTGGATTTGAAATCAGAAAAGCACCCCAATTTTGGCACGCGGCCAGAATATCAGATTCACAGGTCCTGCATGTGCACCTCCTCCTCTACCCCACTAAGTCTCAGATCTTCCATTGCAATAGTCATGTAAGAAAGTTCTAGAGACAGCGGTGCATCCTCAGGATCAGAGCCCATCTCACGCCAGTGTGCTAGGGATGCAAAAAGGCTGCTAAAAATTCAGAGGCCACCAGTGCACAGAAGCAATCGACAGTTTTAGGAGACCAAGAGGATCAATCAGAGCCCCAACGTCAGAGATTCAGCCCTGCCCACAAAATACCACTGGGACAGCAGGTTGCTCTGGAGCTCCTGTCACCGGGGACTGCAGGGCTGCTGTACCTCCCCTCCTTGGGACACAACACAGAGAGGTAAGTTGCCTGGGGCAGGGCCTCCGGAGCCTGTCCTGGAATCTTCTGGGTAGGAAGTCATGATGCATGTTCACCAGGGGTGTGCCCAGGACCACAGCACACCTGGGAGCCCTGCCTGGCTACCCTGCATGGGCTCACTGGGAGGTGGCACTGTGCCCATCTCACGCTGCTCTTGGGGGTGCCAAGGACAGGGTCCTGGGTCTAGTGTTCCCACTCACCACCGAAGGCCTTATTCTCTGACCTGGCTGCGCCAGGGCAATAGCAGACGGTACTGACTGCAGCAGGAGGCGGAGGCCGTGGATGTGCTGAGGAACGGACCACCTGTCGCCCTGGGATCAGTCCCAGCCTTTGCTGTACTGAGTTCTGGCTCTGGGGCCAACTCAGACGAGCTCTCAGCTGTGCCTGGCTGTGGGTCGTGAGCTCCCCGCGGCTCCCTGTAGTGCTCTCTTCTGAACATTCCGTGCGCACACGTTCTGGAGTAGCCGCAGCTGGACACTGGCCGGGGAGACGCCTTTGCTCTGGCTGCACTGCCAGACGCAGTAGGCCACGCGGCAGGCGGCACTCCTGGAGCCATGACGCTTGGCACTGATGGGAAAACCAGGCAGCTAGCACCTTGCTGTGGCAGCAGCGGCAGGTGCCCGGCACGCCCTGCCAGTCAGGGTGGAGGACTCCATGAAGCTGGAGGAAAGTCGATTCGCGCCCCGGCTGCCCGCACGGCACCCCGGCCCCTGGTGCTGCTCCTTTTCTCCACCCTCTGGAAGGGGAAACGTGGGAGGACAGAGCTTTTGTCCTGAGGGAGCACAGTCAGGAGCACGATCCACACCAAGCCCCTGCAAGCCATGTAGCAGAGTCTCCTCGTGCCGGCCGGAGGCCACCACCCTGCGCACAGCCCCTTGAGACTCACAGAAATGACTTCCAAAAATGGTTAAAAATTCCTTCAAGCGCATGGCCAACTCTCAGAGGACAGGACCTTTGCCTGCAGCGCACAGAGGGCCTCCTTGCTTTCCTTGCTCTTCCTGGGCTTGTGTGAAATGAAGGAAATGATGTGACTGCTTTGTTTTCTTTTAACTCATGGCGTAGTGTGAAGCTGCTGGCAGAGACTGGACTTGCTTGGCCTTTCTACACACTAACACACATGCGCACACACACGTGCACAGGCACATGCACACACGCACAGGCACATGCACACACAACCAACTGCCCTTTTCCTCACTGCCAGGATACCAACAGCAACACCCAGGACCTGTTCTTCTCTATTCAAGCAAAACCAAAAGCACTGGTGACAAATGCCCTTGCCAGGCCAGCTTATTAGCATGCCAGGGATAGGGACTCGGCCCTAGGAGTGCCAGCATGCATTTGTACAGGGCCCAGCTGCTCCTGGTTTCCGTGCTTTCCTGGTGACAGTGCAGGTGGTCAGCTCTCTGCCTGTCAAGACCAAACATGAACTTCCTTTCCATGAGCCCCAGACAGGTAAAAGCAGCACGTCAGAGCCCTTCCCAAGAGACTGAACTACAGGACACAGAAAACAGCTTGGAAGACTGTCCTTCACTCTGTGACGTAACGGTGCCTACCAGCTTTCGCGAGGAAAGTTCTAGTTCACATGTGAGCAGAGCCACGCGCACCCTGGACACGGGTGGGGGGCGAGGGTCAGGCATCGAGCCTGGAGTTTCAGAGGAAGCCAGACAGCTCAGTGTCTTCCTTTTGTAATGGAAGTTGCCATAAACCAACAAAGGACAAGACCAGATGTCAAGCTTGCGCCAGAGCACACGGGCCTGGCGACACCTTCCTCAGCTCAAGTATCTCTTGGACACGGCCCCGTCTGCTCGTGGCTGAGGGGGACCCAGACCCGAGCTCAGACACCAGCCAGCAGCACTTGGATGGGCTGCATCTCGATTTTTGGACCACATCACAAGACCTTTTTCTGGTTTCTGTATAATTTCTTTTAGGCTTCTAAAAATTAAGTGTCCTCTTCACCCTGCACCAAGCTCTCTACTGTCTGTTTGGTCTGAAGAATATGACCCAAGCGGTGAGTGAGTTCCCACATCACGTAGCAGGCGCTCGCCGCAGGCCGCTGCTACCCTGTCACGGTGAGATGCGGAAGTCCGCGCTCCTCGATGCCACATGGCAGGGCTGTGTCTGTCCACATGCCGATGCTCTGGGGCTGATGCCCCGAGTGGGGCTGATGTCCCGAGTGGGGCTGGCCTGGCTAGGCCACAGGGCTGCTCCAGGGAGCACCGAGCCCACGTAGCATGCTCCTGCAGTTGAGTGCAGCACCCCGAGTGATCTCCTGTGGCTTTTTGAGGTGAAGATGCCACAGAGAAGTGGCCTGGTAAACAGTTTGGTCCTGGAGGCGGCTTTAGAGGACAGGGTCCTCTTGGTCCTCATGAGCCCACTTCTGTGCTGCATGTCCTTGGAGTAAGAGTGCAGGGCTCGCTGGCCCTCCTGACCCAGAGGGGAGCCAGCCTTGGTGACCGTGAGCAGCCAGCCTGCTGACTGCTGCACCCCTCTGGGGACAGTGATCTCATCAGCGCAGCAACGGCAGAGGCCTTGAGTCCACACTGCAGCCGCCTCGCGCCGGCCCGCAGTGTTGCACAGGCCCACTCCTTGGACGGGATTCCACGCCTTTCCCACGCTCCCCAGCGGCTCCCAACGGAGTGTGGGTCTAGGCGCCCAATCGGGACACAACAGAGCAGCCCGTTCCTTGCGGCTCTGCCTCTGCTGGCCCAGGAGCCGGAGGTGCAGGGCACTTTTCAGGCCTGATTTGACCACAGGTGACTTTTCCCTCCCCACTGACCAGGGTCTCAGTGTCCCCGGTGGATGTCTCTGCAAGGTGTGACGCCTGTCTGCTGGGTCTCAACATGATGACCTGTTCGTGCAGGGCTTCCTCCTGCGCTCTGCTGGCTCCTGGTCTCCCCATAATGGACTGTCCTCTGAGCAGCCAGCCCTAGCTTTCCTGCAGGCCTATGCCGTAATCCTGCGTGGCACGGGGAAGTGACCCTGCAGCACAGACTGAGCCCAGGACTGCCTCTGTGACAAGTGCTCTCTACGTGAGTCAAAACATAAAACATGGCACTGAAATGAAGTCAAACTATAATGTAAAAACTGCTTTAAACAATCCATTTTAATTGTCTAAATTTTTTACAATACAATAACATGAAATCATCTTTTTTTAAAACAATGAGTTTTGTAAAAAACCATCAAATGATGCCTCAAGTAATACATAAAATAAGCTGATAGGTTTTTTCAGTGCTCAAAGTGCTTTCCTCATGAGACAGCAGGCTACAGACAAAAGTAAACGGTTTGAATTTCCTCCCAGTTTTAAAAAAGAAAAGGTGATTCACTGTCTCACTTCCCAGGTTTCTCCCTTGGAAGTCCTCCCAGCGGCTCCTGGAGTGTGGGCCTCGGCCCAGAGCCAGGAGCTGCGAGCCAGGGCTGAGTGCCAGGCGGGGACACCCTGCCCTGCGAGGCTGGCTGCCCGGGCCCTCGGGGCTGGGTGACTTGCTGAGCATAGCAGCCCTCCCGCCCTCGCCTCCGGACGGCTCAACCACGTCACCCACGTGGGCTCTCGAGGCCTGTGTGGAGCAGGCTGGTCTGAAGCCCTCCCATCGGCAGTGCGGCCTTTCCCTCACCTCCTCTGACACCTATGAGACCCCTTCTCGGCACACACCAGCGCATACCTGAGCCTTTGTGGTCTGCACAGGGAGTGTGTGTGTGTGTGTGTGTGTGTGTGTGTGTGTGTGTGTGTGAGCGTGCATGCACACTGCCCCTCAGATCCACAGCTGGGATGCATTTGCTGTAGGTTTCTGTGCAGGAGGGACAGAAGAGGTCCTCTGGGGCCACCAGCTTCATTCCTAGCATAGCTCCCCCAGGGGTCTCGGGGCACCTTTTCCACCTGCGTGGTTGCCGCTACCCTTGGGCCCTCAGCGCTGTCCCGCCTCGCCTTCCTGGGCCCTGAACCTTCACAGAGGAGAGTTAGGAGTCACAGCGATGAAAGGCCCGATGACAGAAATATTGTGGGGTGTCACCACTGGGTTACTCATCTTTCCTGGGTCTGTCCCACAAGACCTCACTGAGGGGCCAACTGCTGGGGAGACAGTGGCCACCAAGGGAGTGACTCTGCTGGTTCCTTTCACATCTTGATGCCTGGGTGGGGTGGCCCAGTAAGGAACACATCTCTATCCTCCTGGAAGAGCTCTGTGATGATCCCTGCCCAGGTATGCGCTTCCTAAAAATCCACCCCCAGTGCATGAATAAATTAGAGAGAAAACAGCATCCGTGTCCTCAGCACAGGCCAAGTCTACAGGCATCTGAACCCTGAGCTCTCGGTGGGCTTGTTTCCCTGAAGGCAGCTTCCAGGCAATCTCCCACTTCCAATGGACAGACAACCCGGCACCTAGCACTGTCCCTTCCCTAGGCCTAGTGGGGCTCCGCCAGCAACGACAGCACCCCGCAGACACAGCAACCCCAGGGCAGCAGGCAGCACCGACGTGCTGGGGCCCGCACCTGCTCCTTTTTAGCAGCCTCTCCTGCTCCACTCTCAGAGCCCTGCTGGCCAGGCCACCTTAGGCAGGGCCACACCCATGTCCTTGGTGGGGGCATCAGCCTCCAGGGTACACACGGCACTGCACAACGGGACACGTTCACTGTCACCCACACAGACGAGCAGAAGCCACACACAGAGCGCCACTACGGAGCGTGCCGGGGACAGAGGTGAGAACGGCCCAGAGCTGTGGGGCTGGGGCCGGGTTTGCGGGACGGATTGCAGTGGCCTCACCAGACCCCTCCTCCTCCGCGGGCTCGGGCGGCTCCTGCATCTCCTCGGGGGAGCTCCTGCTGCTTGGGACAGTCACGCGTGCCCGGGACCTCTCACCTGAGGTCTCTGGGTGCTGCACCGGCGTGGAGGTAGCTAGGCCCGGGAGGGGAATGTGGTCACCTGTGTCATCCTCCTCCAGGTCGTTAAGGCAGTACACTTCGTCCAGGTCGACGTCCAATGTTCGGAAGCCCTTGGTGACCACCCCAGGCCGGGGGTCCAGGATGCCCCCAAGGTGAGGCTGGGCCAGCTGCTGCCAGTGGTGCAGGGTGGCAGAACCTGCCAGGAAGCACAGGGAGAGGAGCAGTTAGCGTGGAGGCTGAGGCTGGCTGGCCACACCCTCGCCGGCCCTGGCCTCTTCCTGGCTGCACCTGCTTAACCGCCCCACTCAGGAAGCAACAGCTCCATGTCTGGGTACAATGAGCACCACAAGGTGTGCTGAGGGTGCTGGGTACGAGGCATTCTAAGCAACCCCAGGATTCTACACATCCTCAATTTACAGAGAGCAGAGGAAGAGATGGCCGGACAAGCGCAAGGAGGGCACTGCAGATGCCAGAGCACGGACAGGCATGTGGGAGGCAGTGGTGCTGGCCCCACCCGGGACCTTGCCAGGGACAGCAGAGCCCAGGAGGGGGTGGGTGTGACTATCATCACCTTCCCTTCGGAAGGCAGCAGCCCAGCAGCCCAGGCGCTGCCTGTTGGGTGCAATCGAAGAACACACAAAGCCATGTAGAGCAAGCAGCCAATCTCCCGGAATACCAGACCCCAGGACTCAGGTGACTCGGGGCTGTAATAAGACCAGAGTGTGTCCCAAGGACACTGAACCATGCTGGGAGCTGTTCCAGGGCCATGCGCACTGTGGAACCAGGTTCAGAGTGCACCTGCCTCTAGGACACTGAGGCACCTCCAGCTTCTGCTGGCCATAGAATCCAGCAGGCCCTGTTCCCTGGGATACGCAGCCACACCTTGTGTGACACTGGCAATGCACAGGGGCTGGGAGTCAGTGCACACAAAACCACACACAACCCTCTGCTTCTGCATGCCTGGGCCTGCAGTCACCCAAGGCTATTGGCAGGGTTGGGGAGAAGTCCTGTGGCCACCAGGCTGTCCTGGGGAGAAGGGAGGGGACTGAGGACATAGTGAGGACAGAAGCTTGTGGGCTCCCAACCCGGCAGCACGATCACTCTCCAGCAGACAACTTCAGCCGGGCTCTGGGAAGACTTACAGGCGTGCTTCCAGGCCACTTAGAAGGAAAAGCACGACGCACTGAGGGTCTGTGTTTGCTGAGCCCCCCTCCGAGGCGTGCCTGGCCCTCAGTGCACAGAAACACAACACCTGGCTACCTCACCCAGATCTACTGAGCAGACACAAGCCCGAAAAGGGCGTGGCGCTGGAAGTGGATCTTGTACCTGGAAGGACAGCTGGCCCAGTGGCTCTTGCCCAGGGGCAAATGCTCCACCTGGGACAACTGGCAAGGCTGTCACAGCTGGGGCAGAGGAAGACACTGAAGCTGCCAGGTGGGCAGAGCCCAGAGAAGGTGCTCAGCAGCCTGCAAGGCTCAGCCAGCCCCACCTCAGAGATGGAGAGCGTTCTGCAGTCACGGCTGGGAAGCCACCAAGGCCAAGGCCTTCCTGCCTGGGAGCTGTGGCTCCTGGTTATGCGGGGACAGTGCCACCAGGGCTCCTGCAGCCCAGGGGCTGCGGCTCCCCTGCTGGTGCCAAGACCCCAGTGTAGAGCCTGCAGCGCGCTGCATCCCTTGTCCACGGCATGCAGCGTCCTCCTCAGAACACCCTGAGTAAGTGCCACCCTGTGCTGCACAGCAGGCCCCTGGGGACAAGCCGCTTCTCAAAGCCGTTAATGGTGGGGAAGGAGCCAGGCTTTGGGAGGCTAGCTCACACAGGAGTCCTACCCTATGCCCTCCTAATGCACAGGACAAGAACAGGGCAGGACATCTGTGTCCCAGCCAAAGACGTGTGAAACAGTCTTGTACCCTGTGGCACAAAGAACATCAAAACTTTCAAGTAGGTGTCTAGGTCCATCAGGGAGCCCACAAGGGCCTGCGGGAGTCGCCGCCATAACAGTGCGTCAGCGTAGCCCCAGGGAGGAGGCTCTGAGGACCCGCGGCCGTGCCCCTGGCACTAGCGCTGGAGTCCTGGAGGCTACCATGCACACATCAGCCCTACTCTGGAGGGTGGAAAGGAATCAGGGCTTAGACAGGCTGGTGAGGAACCACAACAGGGAAAGCTGTGAAGCCATCTATGCCACGGGCTGCCCCTGTGTCAGCCTCTGCAGTAAGGTTTGACGATATTGTGTTCTCTGGAACCTCACAGCAAGAAAACCCTGTGGGGGGCTGGAGAGATGGCTCAGTGGTCTAAAGCACCTACTTAGAGCAAGCTAAGCTAAGCAAAAGGACAGCGACCACGGTTCAGTCCCCAGCACCACATGCCAGCCAGCCCGCCCCCTGGTGGGCTGAGCTGGCCACACACACACACACACACACACACACACACACACACACACACAATTAAAAAAAAAAAGAAAGAAAACCCTGTGGGCCTGCGCGAGGACTGTGGGGAGCAACCAGCTCAGCGCTCACACCATGACACCTCTGCCTTGGAAATGGTGGGGACCTGGCTTTCTCTCTAGAGCCCTGTGTTCATGGTCACCGGGCTCTCACACTAACCCTGCTATCTCCAATACCCAGGAGGGGACACTGGGCACAGGGAGGTGATCTGAGGTCACGAGGCCGTGTCTGCCTCTGAACCACAGCTCTGCCTTGCAGCAAATGTGAGCTGCAGGGACCAAAACTCGTCCTCTGGACAGCTCCCTCACCCCGTGGGGTGTCTGCCACACCTATAACCCCAGCGCTCCGGGAGCTGAAGCAGGAAGACCAGGCTTCAACCCAGACTGGGAAAGTTAGGGTTTTAATGATCTGCTCCATTTGACCAGACCGGTTCACCCCTCCTTAGGCAACTCCTACTCTGAGAGGTCCCCATATTGATGGCAAAGCAGATTAGCCCAGGGCACTGCAGCCCAGAAGTCTGGACTCCAGCGATCCTCCCACCTCAGCCTCCCTCGTAGCTAGGACTACAGGCACTGACAGAATGCCTGGCTAGCGTCCTAATGAGACACTGTCTCAAATCAGAAGAGGGCTGGGGACGCAGCACAGCATGAAGGCCCCGGGTTCAATCTGCAGGGCCATGGAAGAGAAAAAGAAGTGCTGTGGTGACAGGCACCTTACACCCGACTCCTGACTTGACTATGCGGGCTCAGGGGCTCACAGACTCTCAGCTCCGGGTCCCGGGCCCAGCTGGGCCCAGCTTCCTGTAGACACCCCTCCTGCCAGCTGCTGCTGCCTCCTGTCCCCTTCCCAGCTCTTCCTGGCCTCCTGGACCTTCCAGCCATGCTTCCAGAAACCTACATTTTGCCTGCCGCCCAGGACAAGCACCGCCACCCGCCAGGGCCACCTGCTCCTCCCCACGTGCATGCCTGGAAGCAGGCTGGGGACAGGCTGGGATAGGAAGGACAGACAGTTCTGCGGACGGTTTAGGGCAGGGACAGTGCAGCCTGCACCACCATTTCCGCCCTCCCTCACCCTGCTGGCTCCCCCACCGCTCCCTGGTCCAGCTGAGTGTTCACACTACCAAGAAGAAAGCCAATTCCACTCGCCCAGACGAGCAACAGGGCTCCAGCCTAGAGGCAGCCTGCAGGGTAACGTGCCGGAGCTGGGTGCTTTCTCCAGCTACACAGGAATGAACGTTTTCATCCAGAAATCTTCCATGGGCTATAACTAGGCAGAAAGGAGGCGCAAAGTATAGGAAAACAAACAGCCTCGCCTCAGTTTCCAGCCCCTGGTGTCTCTACAGCACGAAGGCGCCGTCTGCTCTGTCGGCCCCACAGCTGCACAGGCAGCGGGGAGGTGGCGCGCAAGCACCCTGGTGACACCGTGAGCAGGTGGCAGGGTGGCTACACGGGGAACTGTGGATGGAGAGGAAGGCCACCGACAGCCGCGTGCTGCGACCCCAGCGCCCTTCTCCAGGCCCTCACCGAGCCGCCTTTACTTGGCCGCGGGACATACAAGAGTTGTGGGAGCGTCTCGTCAGGCCAAGGGCAGAGGACAATAGAAGGCCGTGGCCCAGTGTGTCAACAGTCCAGGTTTCAACACTGGGAACCAGCAGGCGGGACCTGAGCGGCCCACCCAGGCAGATTCTGATGCATCTAAGTTTCACAAAGCACCCACAGGGCGCTGGGCACATTCGGAGCTCACCGCGTTGTGTCGCACCACAGTCCTGTGTACACTGGGAGCCAGCTCACAGGAGAGGAACAGCCCCTTTCTGGGGTAACACGCCACAGCGGGGACAGCGGCCACAGCCAGGTACTGACACTCCTGCATCATGCAGAAACAAAGCAACTGACATGGAAGGAAGCAACACTGGCTGGGTTTTAAACAGCTAAGAAGCCAGAGAACCACAAAACAGGGCCAGAAGGGTCCACATCACGAGGGAGTGTCAGGTAGGAGCCACAGCGCCAAGACACAGCTTTCTAATGGTAGTGATTTCACCAGCGATCCCGTCAGTGGAGGGAGGCCACTCCATGCTTCTACTGCTCGGCACGGAAACACTTATAGTACAAAGCACGAGGAAATAAAGGCAGTTGGTGAAAACAAAGTTTGAGAACATCATCTGCAATGCGCTTGGAAAGTAAGTCCAGAGCCATGTATTCACAGACGAACTCATGAAGCACAGTAAAGTACAGAGAGCAGACAGGATGGAGATGAGGAAGTCCGGCGACTGCTGAGAGGCAGGAGAGGACGAAAAGAAGGCGGGAAGTGATCAGAAATGGGAGATTTTATTGAAAGAAAAACAGACATCATCACAGATCAGAAAACAATTGCCAAACTCACAACTACATAATCAAAAGAGTGAGCCATGCCTCTTCTGAGATCTAAGAAGGATCTAAATTACATAATTAAAAATAATCATGAAGACAGAAAAACAGCCCATCTTCTTCCTTCCTCTGGAGAATACAGGTCTCCACCAAGCACCTCACCTGACAGCCCACGCTCTAGATGGGGGGGTCGCTCGGATGCAGGCCGGGGGCTCCTCTCCTGCGCACCCAGCACTGCGTGTACGATGTATGTTACTCTCACGGGGTGCAGATAGTGCACCTGTGGTGTTCAGGGCTAGGATGGGCACGTGACAGGGTAGCATCAGGGCATCCTGGCGGTGAGACTCAACCAGGGGCATGCTGACCCCTCACAGGGACCACTGTCTGGCTTTGCATCAGCAGCAGCGCGCAGGATCCTAAACTCCCCGAGCTTCCAAACACAGGCAGAAAAGGAAAACTCAGCTGGCCAGATAGCTCAATAGACTAAAGCGCCTGCTTAGGCAGAGCGCAGTGACTGGGGTTCGATCTCTGGCTTGCTGTCCCGGCCCGCCCCTGAGGTGCACTGAGGTGGTGATTGAGCCTCGGCGTGGTGGCACGCGCCTGTAATCCCAGCGCTTGGGAGGGTAAAAACAGGAGAATCACTATGAGTCTGATCTACATAGTGAGACCCTGTAGACCCTGTCCTAAATACAGAAAAAAAATAAATAAAAACACAGCAAGTGTAGGTGAAACATTTCATAATAAAGCCCAAAGCAAAAACAGAAAGCAACAAGAGAAAAGGGTGCATTTTCCAGGAGTCGGGCCATCCAGGGAGGCCAATCCTGGAAGGTGAGCTGCCCTGGGCAGGCGCTAGGCTCTGAGGCTCTATCCTGACCCCAAACCTCAGCACTATCAGGAGCCTGGCTCAGAGCATTCCTGTTTCCAGATCAAACCAGAATGGGGCACCCACGAATCACTTTCAGCGGCTTCTGCAAGGCCCAAACTCAAGGTTCTCCCTCGCACAACCTCCCAACCCCAAGGTTTCTGAGGAGCCAGAACATTCACACCTAAGCCTCTCAGAGCCTCACAGGACTGACTAATCGTGGACGCTCCCAGCAGCGCCTCTGCCTCTCCAGAGCAGGTTCTAAGGCAGGAAAGCGGTGGAACAGCCCTGTGTGTCTCCCAGCTCTGGCCCCTGGGCTGGCACTGTGCCGCCTAGCGGAACTCAAACCAGCAGCGTGGGTGGCTATCACGGAAGAAGAAAGAATAGGCAAGGCTCAGGTGGCCTGCCTTCTGCAGGTGGATCAGGGACCACAGCGAGTCCCCAAGCAGGGCAGAGAGGGGCCGAGGGCCCTTGCGGTCACCTTCCAGGGGCTTTACGATCTGCAGCTTCTCTGGCAGGTAGGAGCGACTGCTGAAAGACATGCCCGAGAAGCCGGTGAGCTCCGAGAGACGCGAGTGGGTGCCCAGAGACAGGATGCTCTCGGTGGGAGTGAGGGAGCCGCTTCGCAGCTCGCCCTTCTCCGCCAGCTCCCGCAGCTTCCTCTCCTGCTCCTCCTCGAAGAACCTCCTCTCCGACAGGTAGTTCTCGCGGCGCAGGGATAGCCGCCTCAGCGCTGTTTCCAGGTCATGGGTGCCCGGAGTACCCGGCGTGCCTGGCTTCTTCATGTGCTCATCTGGCCTGGAGGAGAGATGGGGTGAACGCTGGGCACAGGGGTACAGGCCCACCAGACCAGGGCCGTGGGAGGCCCACACGGGAGGGCCGAAAGGTCCATTCCAGCCTGGGCCTCTTAGCAAGGCCTTAGCACGAACCAGAAAACAGAAGGGCTGGAAAGTAGCTCACAGCAAGGGGCTGGGCTCCATCCTCAGGCCAAAAGAGTGGCGCAGTAAGTGCTGCTGGAAGAGCCGCCCCCATGAGGCTAAGCTGCCTTCTTGGCCGGGCACTGGGCTGAGAAGAGCACTGAACACTGAGCGAGCCTCGGCCTGCGTGCCCTAACCCTAACCCTAACCTGCACCCCGAGGAGGAAGCTTTCTCGAGACAGGGACTCTGTTCCAGAGCAGCTTTTCCTCCCTTTTGAATTAAGGGCTCTGTGATCTAAACTCTGACCACAGAGATGCCTGTCTGCCTGACCCAACTGGCTCCTCATGGTCAGAGGAGAGGCTGCACCAGAGATACGGCATGGTCAAGTTCTGCCGGCGTTGGAGGCCACCCTCCACTCCCAATGACGGACGCCTCTGGGCTCCCTGGGCCTGCTTGAAGCGCTCCAGGTGCTGCCAGAGTTCTCCTGGCCTCCCCAGCACGCAGGCCACAGCACATGCACAAGCAAGTGTCTGCTCCACAGCCAACAGCAGGGGCCACAGGAAGCAGGCTCCGGCCTCGAGGACAAGCATGAGCCAGACGGCTGCAACAGAAGTGCTCCGGTGCAGCCTGCAAGCATTCAGGAGATCTGGCCACTGCACCCTGTGCAACCCACTCCACTCCCGAAGAGCAGGGTGAAGACGCGGCACTCACGCACCCCAGGTCGACCGCCTCGGTCTCCAGGATGAGGCTGTTGGTCTTGTTGTCCAGGACGATGTTGCCCACATCACTGCCATAGAAGCTGGACCGGGGGGTGCTGACACAGCTGGACAGCAGGGAGTTCATGGCCGAGGACTGGTTGGAGCCGGGGATGTTCATGGGCGAGGGGGTCAGCGACCTCTGCTTGACCACCTGGTTGATGTTCCTCACAGTCTCAAAGACGCGCTTCTGGTGCCTGCGGGCCAAACAAAGGCAGGAAGGACCTGGGTCAGGCCCTTCAGAAAGGGCACTCTGGGGAGCCAGCAGGTGTCTGCCCCATTCCCCGGGGAGCCTGTCGGGGCAACAGACGAGGGCACCTCCTTTGCAGTGTGAAGTGAGGCGGCTTGCAGCCCTTGGGGCCTAGAACGCCGATGCACACCATGCCCTGGGTGACGCCTGCCAGACCAGAACCTGACCCACAGACACACAGCTTATCGCTGCTGTCTCCCCAGAAGCTCTGCTTATGCTGTGTATCCAGGGAGCATCAGCTCTGGGCCGTGCCCCCTGCTGAGCGTACATCGGCTCGATATGCGCTGTAGAACATATGCACCATCATTCCTAGAGAAGCAGCCAGGCGTCAAGTCAGCCTCCGGCCTCTACGCTCACAGCTAACACCAACTCTGGCTGCTTATAGAAGCTGCTACACAGCCAAACACAGCGTCAGCTGGTTCCCTTCTTGGGAGGAAGGCTTCCTGCCTGCAGCCACAAGGACCCACATCCTCTGGAGGGACACAGCAGGCCCCACTGATGCCCTGCCTGCGGAGCTGGGCACCGACAAAAGGCTCCTTCTGGACGCTGGGCGGGCAGAACCCCGCCAGGCCCCTTCTGCAGCCTCCTTTCCTAGATACGAATGCTGCATAGGACAGTGCTTGGCACTGCAAGGACCCAGAGCATGCAGTTGTGTCAAGACAGCTCATGCTGGAGGGGCAGGAGACACGTCCTTCCCTGCTGACTCCCTGGAGGCACCTTAGCCCTGACGAGAGTCCCTGTGTCCCCCTCATCCCCTCAGCATGCACGGCTGGACAGTCCTCGCTCTGGTGTCAGGCCACACATGGCGAGGGCTCAAGCATCCCGGCTCACAAGCGGGCCTGGGAGGCTGAGAGCTACCGAACGGTGCACGTACGCAACGTCTGGCGACTCGGGCTCTTCCAGCTGCAGCTCCTTGCGCATGGTGCCCTCGATCTCCGCTGCCAGGGAGTCCTGGGAAGAGTAAGGCACAGCTTGTGAGCAGCATTTGTGACTATCTCCACGAGTGACTACAGCAGCCAGCTTTGATGCTCCATGGACGGAACCCTGGGCTGGGCCATTGCCAGGGTTCTGTCCATGGAGCTTCTGGACCACAGCCCGCTGGGCTCTGCGTAAAGCCCTCACCATGGCTGGCAGCTTCCCTGGTCAGCCCCAGCTCTACCCGGGGACCCCAAGGAGGGATGGTGACCTCAAGGAGGAAGGGAGCAAGTTCAGAGCAGAGAGATGGTGTGTCCAGATGCCTTGAGCTTGCCAAGCGTCAGATGTGACAACAGCACACGCAGCCCACACCACGCTGCTGGACCGCAGTCGATGGGGTGCCCACAGCCCTGGCTCAGTGGGACTCTGATGCACAGGCTACCCCACAGAGTACCTGAGTGCAGGCACTGCCACCCCCAGGCCCTGCTTCCATCTACCCCAGGCTCTCCCAGAGGCCAGCCTGGCCCACCTGCCTGGTGCAGACAGCATCCCCAGGCGGGAGCCTGCGCTTCCTCCCTAGCACACGCCTAACACCTAAGCCCTTGCTAGTGTGCTGAGCAACGTGCTCACTTCCTCTCCCACAAAGCTGGGAGCTTGGTGGGCTGGTGAGGCAGGGCCAGGCCCTGAACTGGGGCCCTGCGACACAGGCTGCCTGATGGGGGACCCTCCAGCACCACTCGCCACCTCTCCCCACAAGGACCAGGCGCCTCAGGAAGGAGCAGGACACCCCGGGACCACTGAGGGAAGGGGAAAGCCAAGGCTGAGGCCCCAGCGGAACCTCGATGACGACAGATTGTCCTCGCTCTGCACTGGCTAACACAGGCACCACCAGCCATGGAGCCACCAACCCCACGGGACGTGGCCTGTGGGACTGAGCACTGGATGCTGATGGCACTCGGTTCTCACTGATTTAAGTGGGTGCAGCTTCTGTGGCCAGTGCTTCCTAGAGGGGGTAGCACAGGGCCTCCCAAGCATCACCTCTGGGCAGTGCCTTATGGAGCAGGGACCAGGCGAGGGAATGTGGAGGAGCTGGCAGAGGCGGGAGGAAGAAAGCCTGTGGGCCGCTTCCGATCCCCAAACCCACTGCATTCCTTAACTGTCCAGCACGGACTGCGGAGACCAAGGCCCGTGGTAAAGGGCTTCCTCGGTGGGAAGCCAGCGTGTTTTCCCTAATGCTGCCCTGGATCTCCACCTGTAGATCCAACTAGAAACCCTGCCACCAGGCAGAAGACAGGAGCACCGCAAGCACACTGCTCCACACTGTCTTGCTCTGCAGTCAGATCGACAGAGAGAGCCAGGCCCTGAGTCCAGAAACCCAGGCACGGTGCAACCCCAAGGCTGCGCTAAGTGCCCTGGACGCGTGAGGCACCTTACAAGCCCGCATACAACAGTGTGTGCCAACAGCACACAGAGGGTGGGCGACGCCTTCGTGCAGCTGGCACGACAGCGGAGTCCCTCGGGAGAGACGACTGTGTGCTTTCAGTTCAGCTTTTCTCATGCCTGGGGGGAGGGGGGTCAGGACGGCTTTGTCCTGGAGGGCAGAGGAGGCAGTGAGTGATCCTCGACATCTCAGGAGCTGGCTGTCCAGAAGAGAAGACACAGCCGAGACACAGCAGGGCAGCCTGCACAGCCACATCGGCACAGGCCCCAGCAGTGCGTGGCCAGCTGCTCTGTGGACTAGGTCACGCTGGCCTTGACAAGCTGACCAGGTGGCACTCTTGGTTTCCATGAGACGTCAGGCACGGTTTGCACCACCATGCCCAGTCTCCTTTACCCTCTCAGCGCGCCTCGGGGGCGGGCCGGCACACCACAGGCGAGCTTTCTAAGGAGGGAGAGAGTTGCAGTGAGTGGCTGCGGCAGTGTGGAGGATTCAGAGACAACCTGGAGAAGACACCGAGTTCAGTCCCAAGAGGCAGAGGGGCTGTTTCTCCCAGAGAGCACCAAGCCGGCCGGGAGACCCCAGGAGCTAGAGCAGCCCACTCCGAGCGCTGCCTGGCTTGCTGCAGAATCTCCATGGAGGAAAAGGCGGGGAGCAGCAGTTTGGGCAGGGCTGTCAGGGCTGGGCGGTTGGTCCTAGGGACACAGCAGCCTCACCAGCCTAACTTCCTGCTGCGTGACCACTGGCTCGTGGGGCCTGGGCGCCTCTGCCCCCAGCGTCCCCTGTCCCTGCTCATGGAGCCTCTGTGCTGTGGTCCTGCAGCGCAAGTGTTCACTCCTGGACAGGTGCCCCATACAGAAGTTCTAGACTGACTGATGTTTGAAGGGAGGAAAAAGATCATAATTTAGGAAGAAAGTGCCTCATGACAGGGCGTGGGCATGGAGACAGTCTGCTGGATACCAAGGGAGGCCAAAGGAAAGAGTTCCAGGACGAAGCCCACATCAGCACCGCAGTTCACACAGCCACCACCCCTACCTCATCTGGAGCACCTCCCAGATGTTCTTGTCACAGAGACAACTTGAGGTTTCACTAAGCCATTGGTACAAAGCCTGAATATAAAGAAATCTTGGTAGGTTGTTCTTTAAGCCATGCATCCACCATCCATCTATCCATCCATCTACCCACACATCACACAGCTGTCACCCATCCATCCATCCATCCATCCATCCATCCATCTACACCCATCTACCATCCATCCATTATCTACTACCCATTATCCATGCATCCATCACCCACCCATCTGTCCATCATCCATCCATCCATCCATCCATCCATCCATCCATTCTCCACCTACCCGTTATCCACCCATCACCTATCCATCCATCATCCATCTACCCATCCATCCATCCATCCATCCATCCATCCATCCACCATCCATCCACTATCCACCCA